GCATATGTGGCTGGCCTCCAAGCCATGGAGCAAAATTCCTGGTACTAATCTCGGCCACTTTGGGGTGTTAGTCTCCTATTTTGTTACTTTATGTTCCCCAGATGAATGCAATCTTTCTATGTCTATCCCTCTCTTTCTGACTCATTTCGCTTAACATGATACTTTCCATGTAGTGCCACTTGTATGTAAATTTCATGACTTTGTCTTTTCTAACAGCTACACAGTACTCCATTGTATAGATGTACCAAAGTTTCTTTAACCAGTCATCTGTTCTTGGGCACTCAGGTTTTTTCCAGATTCTGGCTATTGTAAAGAGTGCTGCAATGAACAAACAAGTGCAGATATCACTTCGACTATGCTTTTTTGTCTCTCTGGGATATATTCCCAGGAGTGGTATTGCTGGGTCAAATGGGAGCTCAATTTCTAATTTTTTGACAATCGTCCTTACTGTTTTCCAAAAGGGCTGAACCAGTCGGCATTCCCACCAGCAGTGAAGGAGGGTCCCTTTCTCGCCACATCCATGCCAGCACCAGTTGCTTTTGTTCTTGTGGATGTGGGCCAGTCTCTGTGGTGTGAGATGATTTTTCATTGTTGTTTTGATCTGCATCTCCCTGATGATTAATGATGTGTAACATTTTCTCATGTGCCTTTTAGCCATTTGGATTTCTTCTTTGACTCTCATTATTTTTAAAGGCTGACTCATATTCCATTATATGGATATATTAGATTATAACCAGTTCCCTATTAATATGCATTTAAAATACTTCTAGTCTTCTGCTGTTACAGTGTTGTAGTGAATATCCGTATAAATATCTTTGTTAGCACCAAGGGGAATTGTAAGTGGTATTCTCAGGGTAAAAATACATGCATTTTTATTTGTGATGGATATAGCAAATAACCTTACTAGGAGTTGCATCACTTCTGTTAGGATGCCTGTGTTCACCATATCCAAGGTACTGGATTATCTTGTCATATTTTTCTTTCTGGCACACCTGTTGGATTAAAATATGGTCTCTTGGTAGATTTAATTCTTACTATTCTTGTTATGACTGAGGTTGAATATCTGTAATTGTGTTTAAGGAAACATTTATATTATTTTTTGTGAGTCATTCTTAAAATTTCCCCTGTTCACTTTTTTCCCCTTGTTCACTTTTTTTAAATTAGGTTGTTACTCTCTAAGGACATCTGCTCTTTATTTTTTTTCTTTTTTTTTCCCTTTATTTTATTTTATTTTTTTAAAGTTGTAGATTTACAATTTTTTGTGCTTTGGTTTCAATCATACAATGATCAGATACCCATCCCTCCACCAGTGCCCATCTTCCACCACCATGGATAATATCCCGCCCACCCCCATCCCCCCATCCCCCCTGTCTCTGTGGCAGGGCAATCCCCTGTGTTCTCTCTCTCCTTTTGGGTGTTGTGGTCTGCAAAAGAGGCATTGAGTGGCAAACATGTTCAGTCCATAGTCTACTTTCGACATGCATCTCCCCTCCTGGGAGGATCCTCCAAACATCCTTTATTTGGTGCTCCCTTCTCTATCTGAACTGCCCTTTCCTCTAGGATACCCGGCTGGCCTCTAAGTTATGGAGTAATCCTCCTGGTGCTGATCTCAGCTATTCTTGGGTATTAATCTCATACTTTGTTACTTTATATCCCCCAGATGAATGCAATCTTTCTATGTCTATCGCTCTCTTTCTGACTCATTTCGCTTAGCATGATACTTTCCATATTGTACCACTTGTATGTAAATTTCATGACTTCATCTTTTCTAAGAGCTACATAGTACTCCATTGTGTAGATGTACCAAAGTTTCTTTAACCAGTCATCTGTTCTTGGGCATTCAGGTTTCTTCCAGTTTCTGGCTATTGTAAAGAGTGCTGCAATGAACAAACAAGTGCAGATGTCAATTCGACTATACATTTTTGCCTCTCTAGGATATATTCCCAGGAGTGGTATTGCTGGGTCAAATGGGAGCTCAATTTCTAATTTTTTGAGAATCGTCCATACTGTTTTCCAGAAGGGCTGAACCAGTGGACATTCCCACCAACAGTGAAGGAGTGTCCCTTTCTCGCCACATCCACGCCAGCATCGGTTGCTTTTGTTCTTTTGAATGTGGGCCAGTCTCTGAGGTGTGAGATGGTATCTCATTGTGGTTTTGATCTGCATCTCCCTGATGATTAATGATGTAGAGCATTTTCTCATGTGCTTTTTTGCCATTCGGATTTCTTCTTTGAGAAAGTTTCTGTTCATTTCATTGCCCCATTTTTGGATGGGGTTGGATGTTTTCTTCTTGTGGAGTTTAACCAGTATTTTGTATATCCTGGATATCAACCCCTTGTCAGATGTGTATTCAGTGAATATCCTTTCCCATTCTGTAGACTGTCTTTGTATTTTGGTCACTGTTTCTTTGGAGGTGCAGAAGCTTCTTAGTTTAAGATAGTCCCATTTATCTATCTCTGTTTTCACTTGCTCGGCCAGTGGCGCATCTGCTCTTTATGTCCCAGATATCTTAGATGTGTTCCAAATATTGATTTTTTAAATGAAATATTTGCTGTTTTATTCATTCACTTTACATAATTGAGTTGATCCATTTTTAACATCAGAATTTTGTGTTACCATTAGAAAGGCCTCCCTTTTGCTTGGCCATATGTTCAGAAAAAAGAGAAAGACTCCTGTATTTTCTTTTCAGAACTTTCATGATTTGAGTTCAGTTTTTACTTTAACTTCTGTGACTATCTGGACTTTTTCTCATTGTAGAACCTTAGCTCCAAGGTCCATCTTCACTGTCTTCTAGATGACTATAAATTTTTCTCAGCACCATTTATGGATATTCAATATTTATCCCACTAAGATGCAACATAACATTAGCATGGACAGATATTATACTATATAACCCTGGAGTGGGGTATTTCATTGATCTAATAGGTGTGATATGAATGATTATAATTCCTCTGTATTTATAGTAAAATGGTAGGGCTATGTCTTTGATTACCCTTCCCCATTCACATTTCCAGAAATTCACTATTTTTTTTTTGTTTTTTGTTTTTTGTTTTTTTTGCTTTTTTGGATCATACCCGGCATTGCACAGGGGTTACTCATGGCTCTGCACTCAGGAATTACTCCTGGCGGTGCTTGGGGGACCATATGGGATGCTGGGAATCGAACTCAGGTCGGCCACGTGCAAGGCAAATGGCAAATGTCCTACTCACTGTGCTATTGCTCCAGCCCCACTGTTTTCTTGATTGCTCTTCAAATATGTTTTATTTATACTTTGGTTTGGGGGGGACACACCTGGTGATGCTCAGAGCTTGCTCCTGGCTCTATGCTCAGGGTTCATTCTTGGTGGTACTTTAGAGACCATATAGGGTGCCAGGGATCAATCTTGGGTCAGCCATACGCAAGGTAAGAATCTTAACCTGCTGTACTACCTCTCTGTCCCTGCCTGCCAGATACAAAATGAATGCCTTTGTCATTAAACTTATATTAAATTTATATTATAAGCTAGAAGCATTTATAGTGATAATTACAATTACAGTGATAATTCATGTCATCTCTTAAACAATAAAGGTAGGGCCAGAGATAGTGCTCGAACTCCCAGAGTTGATTCTCAGCACTAAATGCCTCATCCTGCCTTTCAGCACCAGTAGTATTGCCCCTAAGACACCTGAACACCACTTAACACCACCCCAAATAAAAAATCTAAAAACTAAACACTTGGGTATGTTGGTACAAGTAGCAATCTCAAAGAGCTGGAGCACATGTATTGCATGTAGGAACTCCAGGTTTTATCCCAGCACCAAGTGGTCCCCTGAGTATCACTAGGTGTGTCCCCCAATAATTTATAATGTCTGTATATTGTTTTCAAGTAATATCTGTGTTTCCCATTAGTGTGTTAATGCCATCTTCAAAATTATTATTGTTGTTATTATTATTATTATCATCATCATCAGAGTTTTGGGGTCATGCCCAGCAGTGCTTAGACTACTCCTCTCTTAGTTCTTAACGGTTACTCCCGGTGGTGCTCAGGCACCAAGCGGTTCCTGGAAGTGATCCCAGGTTTCTCATGTGCAAAGCACACACACTAGCACTTTAAGCTATTTTTCCAGTCCTCAAATGTACTTTTAACATCAGTTTTTGTTTCTGTGAAATGAAAAAATATTATATAGTATATATAAATTATTATCATTACAAATGAACTATACTATAGGAAATAGAGTGGAAGGAAAGCCAAATGAATACTGTGGCTTCCTTATTATCAAAGAGAAGGATATTGATAGACCCTGTTAGGGAAACATGCATATAAATTATGGACTCATGTTGGAGTATGTGGACTGAAATAGAAAAGAATGGATGAGAGTTAGACAGTTAGGTGTGCCTGCTTTCCATGTAATAAGATCTGTGTTCAAATCCTGCATCACATGTCCTCACCCCCAGAACTGCTGGACTGTAGCCAAGAAGCGTTCCTGAGTACCGCTGGGTGTAGTCCTGGAGGACTACAGAACTATGGGACTACTACTGTAGTCCCCGAGCACCACTGTAGTGAATCAGGTCATCCCCAACATCACAGGTTCCAAGAAACACTGCAGCAGCAGCCCCCTCTTATTGGCCCAGTTTGCCAAGTATCACTGTGAGTGGCCTTGGAGTACAATGTACCATGAACGTTTTGGGGCTTGGGAGCATATATATGTATGTGTGTATGTCTTATTTATGTATATATATGTCTTCCATATATATGGTAACTTTCTTTTTTTTTTCTTTTTTTGGGTCACACCTGGCGATGCACAGGGGTTATTCCTGGCTCTGCAATAAGGAATTACCCCTTGTGGTGCTCAGGGGACCATATGGGATGCTGGGAATCGAACCCGGGTCAGCTGCATGCAAGGCAAATGCCCTACCCACTGTGCTGTCACACCAGCCCCTATATGGTAACTTTCAAGTGAGTACTAAGAGAGAAGATGTCAAAAATTTGGTGTTCAAAGGACATTAAAAAGAAACTAAAAGGGGCATTGATTTTAAAGCAGTTTCTTCTTAGAGTGAAGATAACTCTTTGTAAACATCCTAAAGAAGTATAATAGCTCTCTGTGTTCCTTTTGTAAGTAAAAAGGATGCATCGTTACACTATTGACATTTGAAAAAATAAGAATAAAAAGTAAAAGAATCTAAAAAGAAATATATAAATGGCAGAAATGAGTCTTATTGTTACAGTCATTATATATGATGTTTAAAATTATTCTTTTAAATTGTCTTAAGTTGAATGGTGGGAAAGCCAAAAACTGACTCAGTCTAGCATTATATATAGCACAGCGGTAGGGCTTTTGCCTTGCACGCAGCCAACATGGCCGACCCGAGTTCGATTCCTCCGCCCCTTTCAGAGAGCCCGGCAAGCTACCGAGAGTATCTCGCCCGCACGGCAGAGCCTGGCAAGCTCCCTGTGACGTATTCAATATGCCAGACACAGTAACAACAAAGTCTCCAATGGAGACGTTACTGGGCCCGCTCGAGCAAATTGATGATCAACGGGAGGGTCTTACTTACTTAATATATTTAAATTACACTGAAATGACCCAGAAATTATGGAAAAACAGATATAAAATGATAGACTTGGCATGTAAGAACCAAAAAAATAAAACTGGGGCTGTATTCTTTTTTTTAATGTAGGAGTACTGCTATTTATTCAGCCACTGATTAGCTGATTGAATTGTGCATGAACTCCACCTTACTTTTTTTTCCCCATTTTTTATAATTTTATTTATTGAATCACCGTGAGAGCAGTTACAAAGCTTTCGGGTCTAAGTCTTGGTCATACAATGAAACACCCGTACCTTCACCAGTGCCCATTCTCCACCCCCAACAACCCCAGGATACCCCCATCTCACATCCTACCCCTACCTGTGGGGCAGATGATTTCCACATTACTCTCTCTCTACTTTGATCACATTCACTATTTTGACACCAGACCCACCATTATTATTTGAGATTTTACCCCAACACTCAGATCTGCCAAAAAGGCAACAGTAGACAATTTGTTTTCTATTCCTGGTTATGAATAACATATGATGCCGCGTGGCTGCAGTAGTGGCTGCGTGATTTTGAAATTCCAAAATTTTAACACTTAAATCTGGAGGGATTTCTGCCAAAACCTGCTGGGTTCCGCGATTTGCTCCTGAGTCTCTGGGATCATCGCCGTTAAGCAGCTTGATCAGGAGCCAGAGAGGCCGTTCATGGGCAATGACTTGGGGTCTCTTTGGGGTGGGGAGGACAGGACCAGCTCCACCCCTATCCCATGAGGCCCTGCGTGTCTCATCACTGCGGGCCCAAACCTGACTGTCCAGTGGCCTCTGGAGGATGGCAGTCACCGGACTGCCAGGGGGAACAGGCCAAGGCACAAAACCTATTCCCACCTGGCTTGGCCCAGCACCGGTAAACTACTGCAGGGACCGGATGCATTTCTGCCAAAAGCTGCTGGGTTTCGAGATTTGTTTCTAAGTCTCTGGGATCATGGCCATTAAGCAGTTTAATCGGGAATCAGAAAGGCCATGCCTCCAATTATATAGCTGAGCCAGAGGTGGTTTGTGGGTGTGTTTCCCACATACCTAACTTTTGGCAGTTTACTTTCTTGGTAAACTTGGTCCCAAGTTGTTCGGGTCTGGCCAAAGGCACAGCAGCAATTTTGGGGTATCTGGAAGTCTGAAGGCGCCATCAGGCTGCTGATGCACTCGCCTCACAGGTACAGGTTGACCTGCTGGTGGCACCATACCCCCTTGGGGCTGTATTCTTAACATCAGACCAGAGGGAACAGAAGGTGAAGAACATCACAGGAGATAAAGGGAAATGACTGACATCCTTAAATACCAAGAATTATAAAATTACTATCACATTCAACTCTGAAAGAGCCTTGAATATGGCACTTTTCTAAAAATCTCAGGGATAGGACAAAGGAGACGTTACTGGGGCCTGCTCGAGGCAATCGACGAATAACAGGATGGTTGTGATCGTAATCGTGATCACATTCATAGCTAAAGGTATATTCTTAAACTCTGTCAAAAACTGAATTACCTGAGATTTTATTCTGCCTGTTAACTAATAAAGCTAACTAACAAAGCTGGCAGGGACCTGGATGCCGGCAAAATAAATGAACCTCATAAGCTAGAGAAAATAATCAGTCTTAGAATTTACGCCAATTTTTTGATTCAGGGCATTGTGACATGAAGAGGACCAGCTGATGAGTACATCCTGAGTGGCTTGATTTCTAATGAGAAGTAAACCAATTTTCTTTTGCTTTGAAAGGAAGCACAGTGTGTTCTCAGACTATTTGCTTTGTGAATACCCTTGCAAACAATAAAGCAGAACGATGTGTAGTTGGTACTGCACTCACAAGACAGAAACCCGTGACACATTCAGAGAATGGTTTCCCAACAATAACCATTCCTCTTTTCCCCACCATCCTACCTTCTGCAGTTTTTCGCCATGAGCAATAGGGCTTTCTGTTTCATCTGACAGAGGTGAAGAACAAATCTGTTTAATGTGTCTCCTGTAAGTTTAATTAAGGATATTATCAACAGGATTTCAAGCAGCACAGTGTGACCAATCTGCAGTAATTTGCTCAACCTTGACCGTGGGGCTTTAGGACCAGTTTGGCCCATGCAATGATTCACAAAGGTTTATTTTATAAAGCAAGGTTTCCATAATGACCTTTTCCACTTAACCTGAGGCTCTAATCCAAGTACAGCTAAGAAGTAATTGCACAGATTGTGTTGTGGTCCAACAGACAATTTAATTATCTGGAACAACCCTGAACAATAAACCAAGGCTGACGGTAATACCTTCCAGGGCCAAGGTTATATGGTTAATGCTTCATCTAAAAAATCAGGGACAAATTTCCTGCCATCTTTTGTAACTGGATTATTCCTATTCACCAATTTTCTGCCCTCGGAGTACACATAAATAACAAGCCACTTATTTTTCTAGGTATCTTCTCCTAGCCGCCAAGGGTAGCTTCCTTTTTTTTTCAGGGATCCCCAGACTCATTAAGGACTTCATTAACTCATGCTCTCTACCTTAAACACTTGCAGGTCACTTAGGATTATTCTCTCCCCCGCCCCCAGACACACATCTCTATGGTTTGGGGAGGGAGACAAGTTTGTACCTGACTTCTACACAAGGAATACAATACCATAGGTGCCCCCTAAAAGAAGTGTTATTTACAATATGTGGGGTCTCTGAAGTGGCAGCCAGAGAGACACAGGTTACTCTGCCTCCTGAATAGCCTCTCAGCTGGCTGGTAGGCTTGAACTGAAAATTGCAGAACTGAAAAAGAAAGGAAAGCTGTGGTATTCAGCATTGCAATTGAAAGAGCACCCCAGATCTGACCATCAGAGAGTCTCACCAGGTGGCTTTGCCTTTCAATTTGGGACAGAGAAGAAGATGAAATAGGGCAAGGTGGTTGACAAACAGATCATTTCTGCAAGTGGTGGTAGTTCCTCACCTGGACAGAGAATTTTTATCTCTGTGCCTTGCTGATTTGAAGACAAACTTCTAATCTCAATTAATTATTCAGCAATGGAGGATGGGGAATTAGTGGGACTGTGTTTGGTCTTATTACAGGTGAACTTGGGAATCTGACTGTGAGTCATGAGAAATAGTGTCCAGCAAGTCTTATCTAAGGTAAAGGGGAAACATACCCTTAGCCAAGAATTTAAGAGGGTAGAAGGATTTCCTAACCAATACTTTTCAGGTTTCAGGAATTCAACAATGTCAGAATCCCCCATATGGTCAGGACAATCATAATGCTGCTTTTGAACAGCTCTGTCTGAAAACAAGGATGTGGGGGATGCCTAGGGCTATATACTTTTCAGTTCAGATTTGATCTTTGGTTGTAAAGTTTACACAGGTAAACTCCGTTGGCGATGGAGTTATTCTCAAATCTACAGGATCATGCTGTATTGCTGAATAATTGGTCAATGCTGCCTACGTATGGGCCTTTAAGACAGTAGGCAGAGAGCAAGGGGAGGGCAGACGATCACCAACAGGAAAATAATTAGTAATTCTTGTAATATACGTCTTAGCTAGAAGCCTATGTTGTGGCTAAGAGGAGAGTCCTTTAAGCCAGTATCAGCCTTGTAAACCCAGAAGTCTTTTCCCTGAGGATACTGACTCTTTGTCTTGGCCTGTGATGGGAACACCACCACATTTGTTGTACAGATGTTTCCCTGACTAGACAGGAGGAAGCTTGTTTGGCTGTAATAACTTATATTACTTGTAAAGTTTCTTGCTGTACTTCTTAGGCATTAGTTGTATCACTTATTTTTTAAACTACTTTAAAAATAGAATGATTCCCTTGGCGCTAGTAAAATGGCACTCAGAAAGAGAAAGTGCTTCTAAAAAGAACTGATTTTCCCTGGGTTGTTGTAAGCTAATCTATATTTGCCTCATTCTGGGGTGATTAAAGCTCTGGAGGGACACCTGGGTAAGAGATGGGAGGGTTGTTTTCAGTATTTGAAATTCCTGGACAAGGATCACAAAGACATTGGCTTAGAGAGTTTGGTGTGGAGAAAGCAGGTGTAGATTGGCAGCCACATAAAAATACTATAGTAGGAGTCAGACACTGGTTATAAGGATTATTAATAATTATCGTGGTTAATGGTAGTGTAGCTCCTCAGGAAGTAAGTATCTTTGGGTGGAACTAAAACATCTGGATGGTTGGCTGAAAAAAGTGAAGGAGGTTTGGGAATGGTGGTCCAGTGGTAGAGCACTTACATTGTATTTTTTAGATTCTTGAGTTGAACTCCTAACACCACAACAAACAAGTGTCCTTAATTTCTTAGAAAGGTAGTGGAGAAGAAAATAGTGATCATCAGGGATAAATGTGCTCCAGTGTTTTGTTTTCTACTCCCAGTCCAGAGGAAGTGGAGTTAAGAAGTTTGGAGATGTCAAGAGATGCATCGATTATGTTGTGAGAAAAGGTCCAGTTAGCTATGGTTAAAAGTTGGGTTGTTAATGTAGAATAGGTTAGATGCCAATATGGACCATTAAAAGCAAATAAGATGTGCTGAGGAGAACATGTCAAAATAAAGCTTCTTGACATTTCATTTAGTTAAATACATATTTACGTATCTCTGTGTGTGAAGAAA